AATTCATCTGTTTCTCTCACGAAGAAATATCTAATTTTTTTTTTTCTATTCTTTCTTTCTTTTATAAAGAAAATTGCTACAATTTCGCAATTTTCACTAGTTTTCTTAGATTTATATAAAATATCGCAATAGATGGCATTTTATAACTTGATAGAAGCAAAAGTTTCTCTGTAATAATTTATGTACAAAAATATATATATTACGCCATCAAAAGTGGATAAAAAAAAAACTCGATATAATATAAATTTCAAATAAAATATAAAAAACAAAATGAATATTAAATTGAAAATAAAATTTAAAAAATAAAATATAATTTTAGTTGGAATTTTTTTTTCTTTTTAATATAAATATATTTGTCAAATATTTTACAGCATTTTTAAATTTAAATTTTTAAATTCTCTATAGAAATTGTATTAAATATTTTTAATTTTCATTATTATTTAATTATTATTATTTATTTGCATATAAATTTTCCAAGTTGTTTTATCTCGTTTTTTTCTACTTCGCCCCTTTTTTTTTTCCAAAAACTGATCGCTATTCCTTACAGGCTTTTCCCTACCATTGTCGCATTCCTATTCGTTTCAACGTCTTGAATTTATCATTGATGTTCCTTCTCTTCCTTTCAGTATTAAAATTCTTGAAAGCAGAGAAATAATTTTATCAAACGTCGTATTACGTGAAAATATTTAAATTCTTTTCAAGTTCAATGAACAATGAAAAGTCATTTTTTTATAACAAATTTTCAAAAAAATATACGATTCCTGTTTATTTTATAAATTATTATAGATTATTAATTACTTTTTTTTAATATTTCAAAATTTTATATTTTTTCAGCTAGCAAAGTGAATTAAATTAAAAAAAATAAACATCAGCCATTTTTAATTTTCAAAATATGATAACAAATTCGTAATCAGCGACTTCGAAAACTTTCAAGTAACAAATTTCAATCGAATTAGAACAATTTAAACAAATTTTTCCTCTATATTGGTTTCAAAATTTGAAATTTTGAAAAACTGATATTAAATTCGTAATCAGCGACCCATAAAACCCCCCAGTAACGAGTTTCAAGTGAATCTGATACATTTTTTGAAAATTTGTCCGCCATATTGGATCCGCCATTTTGAATTTTTGTAAATTGACCTCAAATTCGTAATCAGCGACCCCAAAAACCCCCGAGTACCAAGTTTCAAGAGAATCCGATACATTTTTCAAAAATTTGTCCGCCACATTGGATCCGACATTTTGAATTTTTGTAAATTAACCTCAAATTCGTAATCAGTGACCCCAAAAACCCCCCAGTAACGAGTTTCAAGTGAATCTGATACATTTTTTGAAAATTTGTCCGCCATATTGGATCCGCCATTTTGAATTTTTGTAAATTGACCTCAAATTCGTAATCAGCGACACCAAAAACCCCCCAGTAACGAGTTTCAAGTGAATCTGATATATTTTTTGAAAATTTGTCCGCCATATTGGATCCGCCTTTTTGAATTTTTGTAAACTGACCTCAAATTCGTAATCAGTGACCCCAAAAATCCCCAAGTACCAAGTTTCAAGTGAATCCGATACATTTTTTAAAAATTTGTCCGCCACATTGGATCCGACATATTGAATTTTTATAAATTAACCTCAAATTCGTAATCAGCGACACCAAAAACTCCCGAGTAACAAAATACAAGAAAATTAGATCAATTTTTAAAAAAAATTTCGCCATTTTAGATCCGCCATTTTTAATTTTTTAAATCTGACACCAAATTCGTAATCAGCCACTCCGATTAATCGCATATTATTAATAGATTTTAATCGAAAATCGATTTCGACTTACACATCCTTAATGCGCAGAAACCCATGCGTTGGCTTCAATTGAATCTACAATTTAGAGTTTTTAAAATCTGATTGCAAATTCGTAATCAGCGACCGCAAAAATTCTCGAAAACAACGAATTTCAAGTCAATAAAAACAATTTTTAAAAAATTTCCGCCATACTGGATCCGCCATTTTGAATTTTTAATATCTGATACCAAATTCGTAATCAGCGACCTCAAAAACCCCCGAGTAACGAATTTCAAGAAAATTAGATAAATTTTTTTTAAATTTCGCCATATTAGATCCGCCATTTTCAATTTTTAAAATCTAATACTAAATTCGTTATCAGCCTCCCCGAAAACCCCCAAGTAAGGAATTTCAAGCGAATCAAATAAATTTTTAAAAATTATTAGCCATATTACATCCGCCATTTTCAATTTTTTTAAATCTAACATCGATCCCACATAAATTTAAATGAAACCTTGTAGTACATGTAACGATTTTTTTGTAATTATTGATAATATTTTTGTAAAGAAAGGAGATATATTTTTTAAAGTATCAAGTCACTAAAAAGTATGTATAAACTTGTACAACTTTGTTTTGTACGAATAAAAAATAAACAAACAAAAAAAAACCACATTCAAATAAAAATGCTACTAAATATTATATTGACTTCATTCTCCAAATATGTTTAAAACCGTTGCTTATATGCTAAGTACATAAAAGAAAAATTTGCATTTTTTTTTTATTCCCTCATGCAAATACAAATAAATATTGACTAAAAAGGACACGCGCAGGGGGTTCCCGGACGATATGCACAAGCAAGTTTTGTGTGAACGAACCCTTAACCGTTAACTGACAATCACACGAAAAAAAAAAAGAACACTTGTGTGGAAGGTCGTCCGCCGTGTTCTGCATTCCTTTCCGAATATGGAAAGGCCGAAAATACCAATGGCTTGCAGTGCAACCGTACTTCCAAGGAGAAACGGTTCTCAGAACAAAGAATCCACAATATTATTCTTTTCTGCGGTCTTTGCACCTCTTCGCAGGCAAATAAAAATTGTACATTTTTTTTTGTTGCGAATTTCTATAATGAGTTCTGTATGTTTACTAACCAATGCAAGTATTTCTTTTTATAGTCCAGTTGAAAAACAATGCAAATTCCATTTTAACTTCGAAACAATTTTTTTGTTGTTTAAAAACCTTAGGGTGAAATCACATGAAGGCAGGGATGGGTAAATGTAACAAACTCGAGGATTTCTACGTATGTTACCTAAATTACGTAACTTACGTAAAAAATTGTTGCAAATGTCAAAAAAATGTCATAACCTCACTTTTTGTACTGTTTTGTATTTAGCTCAAATTAATTTTCTAAAATAAAATTATTATTTATTTTATTATTTGTTTTTTGGATTATTTTAATGTTTTCTTTTTTTCTTAGGATGATTTTCTTCCGCTCTGACATTGATAATATTTTTTATTATTTTTTAAAATTGATAACGCAGGATGTCCGCAAGAAAAAAAATTAAGTCACAGTAGTGACAGATTTAAAGCGCCATCCCATGTAAAGAAAGTATTGTAGAACAGCCTTAACAAACATCTGAGTGGGGCATTTGTCCAGGGGCGCATTTAAGAAGTTACCATCGTACGGAATGTTTCCATTGTTTCCACTCGGGTTGGTTTTCATTGTCCCCTATTTGCCGTACCTTGCTCTAGTAAAAATTTAGTAACTTTATAGTGACTTTTAATTTTAACAATAAAGTCACTAAATTTTCACTAGAGCAGGGTGCGGTAGTTGACGAAAATTATGACAAATGGCAAGTGGGGACAATGGAAACCAACCCTCGCCATTTTTCAAAATACTCGTCAACTACCGCACCCTGTTTTAGTGAAAATTTAGTGACTTTATAGTAACTTTTAATTTTAACAATAAAGTCACTAAATTGGTTGGTTTCCATTGTCCTCACTCGACAAAATCTTTAATTGTCATAATTCTTGCCAACTACCTCACCCTGCTCTAATGAAAATTTAGTGACTTTTAATTTTAACAATAAATTCACTAAATTTTCACCAGAGCAGGGTGCGGTAGTTGACGAGAATTATGACAAATGGCAAGTGGAGACAATGGAAATCTTTCATACTGTCATTTAATCGAAACTTTTTTCTCATATCAGTTAACTCTCTATGTTGCATATTGATGAAATAAATTAAAATTCAGCGGGAAATTTGAATTCACTAATAATTTTTTAATTATGCGAAGAAAAAGCAAAATAAAAATTCTTCAAAATAGAAGAGAATTAGAAAAATTGTTTTAAGGCCAGGTCCAAGTGAGGCAGCGCCATCTACATTGAAACTAAAATTTTGGAAAATTTTAAACAGCCTTTTCTTGAAAACAAGATGGTAAAATGCTTTTTCCTTTATGGATAATTGATTATTGGCAAGACATAGACCAGCTAAATCTTTTTTTGAGTTAAAATAATAAAAAAAATTTCATGTCAATAAATTAAATATGAGCAGTTTTTTCACAAAAACTGTAACAGTACTTTCTCAGAAATTACAATCAAAAATGCAATTTCCATTTGGAAAATTAATAAACGCTAAAAAATACACGACCTAAGATTTACCAATCACGAAAATAAGAAAAAAAAATTTTATTAAATATTTAACATATTGATACTGCTTTACTGATTGTGACAGCCCTTTGGTAGATTATGTATTTCAGGTGGTTAGCAACATCGCCAATCTCCTCCTTTCGGCAAAACTGCGAAACGTCTGGTGACATATATAACCTGCCAAACGGCTGTCATAATGAGTAAAATAAGTTATGTTAAAATACTTTTTTTTTGTTATTTTCGTGATTGGTAACTCTTAGGTTGTGTATTTTTTAGCGTTTATTAATTTTCCAAATGGAAATTGCATTTTTTAATGTAATTTCTGAGAAAGTACTGTTACAGTTTTTGTGAAAAAGGTGCTTATATTTAATTTATTGACATGAAATTTTTTTTATTATTTTAACTCAATAAAAGTTTTAGTTGGTGTATAACTTGCCAATAATCAATTATCCATAAAGGAAAAAGCATTTTACCTTCTTGTTTTCAAGAAAAGGCTGTTGAAAATTTTCCAAAATTTTAGTTTCAATGTAGATGGCGCTGCCTCACTTGGACCTGGCCTTAATATTATTTTAAATAACTTACCATATAAAATGAGTAGGAGCCATCTCCTCTCCCACATATTGGCACTTCTGCAAAAATAAGAAAAACAAAATTTTAATTATAGATATTAAAACATTAAAGTACAATAAAATCATAAAAATTTTCTAAATTATATAGATTATTCAGAATACAATCTGAAATATTTAGTATTTTCATTCAAAAAGAAAGTTACTTATTAACAATGGAAATTTTTTTTCACGTTTCCTGAATAAACATTTTCCAAGTTGCTCACTATATAATAAAAATAAATTAATCGTGTTGAGATGTAGTTTTTTAAAAATTAATTTTGTCGAATATAAAATTCCTCTTTTCTCCCTCGCATACTATAAACAAGGAATGTAACTTTACTAATAGTTATGCAAAGTACCAGAATGCACCTCGGGAAATCGAATCTGCACTTTCGTTGGCGGTATACATTTTATTGGTTTTATTTCGATTCTCAACGAGACTGAACGAGAATTTGTTTTTTTTTTTCTTGTTTTTATAAACACACAAGTGAAATCGATAAATCGTATAGTACATTTGTTTATAATTATAGATCACGGCAATTTAAAAGATAAAATTTATATATGTGATGGACATCCATTTTTTTCACATTTTGCAATTTAGAATCTCCCTATACTTAATCAACTTTACCATCAAGTAGTACTTTCACTACATTACGTTCGTTTATTGAACTCGAGCGATCCAATAGAAATGGCTAGTTTATTATTTTATCAATGATGTTGTTACTATTTTTTTTTTATTATGACACGTGTAATCTATATCAGTAATTTTCTATAAAATATATATATATGTATAGGCGTTCAGTAATTACAGCTGCGCAGTAATTTTCTAATATATGTATTTCTGCGCAGTGATTGTAGGCGACGTTAATTAAAGACGGCCGGATGTAAGGAAATATTGAACTCAAAGCTTCAATAATGTACAGTAGTTTCTTGTAATATTTCTGGAAAAGTTACGAACTAATCAGAAACTTTCGACGTATCGTTTCCCAACCTTGCTTTATCATTCTTAAGTAGAACCTCTGAAATGTGACAGTTTGATTGTGGGTGATAATATACAAAGTATCGCTAATCGAAGGTGTCACACTTCGCACGTTCTGATATATTGTTAAGGCCAAAGCAAAATAAAGTGGAACGTCCGAAATGTGCTCTGTCACATTTCGTAGGTTCCTTCGTATTACGGTCAATTCACATGAAGGAGTAAAGCGTTAATGTGAGTGAAAGAGATGTATATAGTATAATTTTTTCTTTCACAGACGCATCTTTTAATAAAGTATTTAGGTTATGTTTCCAAATTGGGAATTTTCGTGCATTAGGGATTAGCCAGTTTACCAAAATCAATTATAATTTTTTAGATAAAAGTATACTTTTTTTAAATTTTTTTATTAAATATCGTTAAAGATTGTATAGAAAGGTTAAAGAAATTGTTTTAATTAAAAAATGTTCACTTTATTTCATATTTATAATTTGAGAACTTGCAGACTTGAAAGATCACGTTCCTCGACGTAATCGTAGATAATTATATAGCAGACTCTTCTCTTACTAGAAAAGTAATAGTGGGTCATACCTACACACAACACTCAACACACTCTCTTCCGTTTATATATATATATATAGAAAGAAAATTCACTATCTTAATTTTCATTGTTATTGGAGAAAATTGCTATTCTGTAAATTATTAATTATTTCTCGTATTAAAACAATTGATCAGCAATTTAATTACCGGTTTACATTTTTTTATTTTTGAAAAATCTATGTGATTGTAATATTATTTGTCTTTGTTGTACTACTAGACATATTTTATGACATTAAAATTACGTTAAATGTACATTTGCTTAGGAAAATAATTGTTACATAATGTATGGTATTAGCCACGACACTGCCAAGAAGCAGGGATGGGTAAATCGAAACAATTTTATATATTCTATACGTAATGTTACGTAACATAGTAAACTGTCACAAATATTCAATTAATTGATTGATTTCAATTTTGAATTTCCCGCCATGTAACGTTTTTCACTCTTCTGTGCAGGTATATCTGGCATATCAACTACCGCACCCTGCTCTAGTGAAAATTTAGTAATTTCATTAAGATTGGCTAAACTACAATACGCCATCTGGTGTTTACATTCTTCTGACAACCATTTTTCTTTTTCGTCTTTCTTTAATTAACATGATATAAAGAGAAATAAAACCAAAATGTCTGATAAAATAGGTAAAAGTCACAAGACCAACAAATCCCAATAGTAACTTTTAATTTTAACAATAATGTCACTAAATTTTCACTAAAGTAGGGTACGGGAAGTTGACGAGAATTGTGACAAATGGCGAGTGGGGACAATGAAAACCAACCCACATATGTTTAACGCTGTGTCCACAATGGGCTGCTTAGGTTATGTTTACATGACTGCGTTTAAACGTTGCCTTTTGCGTTGAACAATGAGTGTAACAAGGATAAAAGTATTTATTTGTCTTTCTGTCTTTTATTATTTAACGCAAAACGCAGTGTACGAACGCAAGCATGTAAACATAGAATTATGTTAACATAACCTATACAATAGAATTTATAAAAAATCATATTGTATTCGTTATGATAACAGAAGGAGTCCATTGTGGATAAGGCCTAAATAAATGAATAGAAATATCATTATCAAAATTTTTAGCATTACATAAATTGAATTCTAATAATGGTTATTTTTTTTTATGAAAAAGTTAACAAATCTTATGTGTCAGTGAAAACTCTCGAAAATGTTGTAATTTAGAAACAAGTGTGTTGTTTTTTTTTCTTTACACTTTTACATAGATATGGATAAACATCGCATACTGCGAATTGGAGCGCTTCATACACACACACACACAATCAATTAACTTTAGTTTTCGACACGCTCTTTGATTTGCAAGAACATTTCGAATATATCGGAAAATTAAAAAAAAACTAATTTTTTCATTTACTTTTATCGAAATTTAGTAACTTTATAGTAACTTTTAATTTTAACTATAAAGTCACTAAATTTTCACTAGAGCAGGGTGCAGTAGTTGACAGTGAAAAATACTCTAGTAAAAATTTAGTAACTTTATGGTAACTTTTAATTTTAACATTAAAGTCACTAAATTTTTACTAGAGCAGGGTGCGGTAGTTGATGAGAACAATGGAAACCAATTATTTATTAAATATTCTTAAAAATTGTTTCGACTTAGCACCGTTGAACTTCTGTCAAAACAAGTAAACAGTGTTGTCAACTTGTGTCAGAATTCTATAAAAGTCCCTATATATAATATATAGTAACATGGTTTATTGCCATTGTCCCCACTCACCATTTGTAATAATTCTCGTCAACTATTGCAACCTGTTCTAATAAAGATTTAGTGACTTTATTGTTAAAATTAAAAGTTACTATACAGTTACTTAATTTTCACTATATCAGGGTACGGTAGTTGACAAGAATTATGATAAATGGCGAGTGGGGACAATGGAAACCAACCACCCGACTCAGCTAAAATTTGTTTAGGCTATTCTACAATATTTCATATTTGTTATTAGGGTCGAAATGACCTCGTGTATCATATTCGTGACAATTGTAGAGATCAATAATAAAAAATCAATCAATTCTTCAATTTTTTTAAAAATTTAATTGCTACACCTAAAAAAAATAATTTCTTTGAAACAAAGAAATCGTTTTCTTAAAATCAATTTTTTAAATCAAAAATGAAATTTGTTTGAATTAAAGAAATTTTTTCCTTAAATGATATTTTTAACCTAACAAAAAATTTCTTTAATTTAATGAAAATTTTTCTTTAACCCTATGACAATTCTTTGATTCAAAGAAATTTTTTTTGAAACAAATAACTTTTTTTCTGGACGATAGAAGAAAATAAAAAATAAGAACGTCTTATATATGTATGTGAAAACGATAAATTACAAAAGAGGATATGGCTTAATAGAACTAAAACGTCTTGATTTAGTCCTGACAAAGTCTCGCCCGCTATTACGCGATACATTTATATAACATCAACATTATCCTTGCATTATATGGTTAGTAGCATGGTGACAGTGCAGAGAAAGTTATATAGACTATATCTCCTCCCATATGCTTAAGGCAATTCTCCTGAATTATTGATAATCAAAAATTTTGCTTAATTATACTGTTTTTTTCTTTTTTGCAATTTTACAAATAATTAAAAAAAATATGAATTAATAAAAATAATAATAAATATAAAAAAATTTACATATATTTAATAAAATGTGCAATAATTCAATAATTAGAAAATTATTTTTTCCTTAAAAATTATATCGATATTGTGAATTTTATCCTATATTGCATATTAAATAAAGACAATGTTGCATGCTTTACATAAAAAAAAATATATGTATGTAGTTTCCTAGAAACTGAAAACTGGCCTCTTTAGTTAGATACGCTTCGCTATGTTCTGCCATGCTCCAGTAACATATCGACTCCTTTTGCCAGAGGCTCTTATACGATCATGAGTATATAGTAGTGAATTCTTTTGCTTCACTCACAACTTTCGAATTCATCGTTGAAATTCATCCAACTATGCAATGCGTATCTTTCAATTTGTATTTATGAAACGGAAACCAGTTATGTTAAAGGCAGGTATTTGATAATTGTAAAATCATATCACAAATATGTTTGTCACTGTTATGACATTTCATATTTTTTTCTTTCCTTTTTACATAAAACTTAATAATAATAAAAACATATTTTTAAATTTTTATCATAGAGAACAATTCCTATACGATAAAGGAAGTTTAAGAAAATTACTATATTCAATAAACGTGAAACTAATTTATATGAAAAAAAATTTATGAAAAAATCAAATTTTTTTTTATTTGTAGCTTAGTTTCTTTTTGGTTTTCAAATATTGATGTTTATTATTTTTAAGAACGTAAATTAAATTTTCAAATTTTTTCGTCAGCCATGTTGGATCCGCCATTTTGAATTTTTTAAAACAGTCATCATGACCGCCAATTTTGGAGATAACGAAATTTTTTTAGATTAAGACTT